GTGACAGGCCGAAATCAAATTAAATGTCAGCATATATAATAGGCGGTCTGTCGGTCCATATTTTGATAGTGTAGTTCTCTCAATGTCAATGGAGGCATTTAAGAGATTAACAACTATAGCTATCTAAAGTTTGGCAGGAATTGGTTCCGTTCGGCAGCCATATTTATCATGAAAAAAAATAGCTGTAAGAATAAAGGATTGGTGACTTTTTTGTTCCTACTAAAATGAGATCCAACTAAAATTGACAGCTCTTTAAAAGGTTTGGAAATTGGAATATAAAAATTTCTCTTATTCTCCAAAAAATTAACAAATTTCTCTTCCAGACTCGTAATTTTATCTCAGAATCATGTTCCCCACAGAAGATATTGTAAGACTCTTGACAATTAGAAATGCAAGTTGGCTGAAGTTAAAAAAGTAGATTTGAATAATGTTGGTCATTTCCATGGAATAGAAATAGGGGTTAGTGCCTTTTTTTCTTTTTCTCTCTCTCTCTCTCCTTCTTTTTTCTTCAGGGTAATTCAACAGATATAGGGGATTAATGCTAATTCTGTAATTTGGATTTTTGGGACCATTTATTTGTCAATAATGGTACTTTTCTCAATATCATAAATCAGAAGCAGTGTATGAACTTTTCCTCTGCTCAATCTTGAGATGCCCACCACCGTCAGGCTCCCAGCCCCACTGGTTGTTTAGAGAGATAAAAAAAAAAAAAAAATTAACAAAACCCTAAATAGTTTCTCTTCCATCTCTTTCTCCCTGCAAAACAACCAGTGAAAAAGTTTTGCCTCTCTCTCTTCCCTTCTCTAGATCACTTTCTATAGCAAAGCAGCAACATATTGAAATTTTAAAACCATCTCAGCAATATATTGATTAAAAGTTAAAATTATAGAAATACACTCCTTTCTCTGATATACTTTCATCATTACCCTTCCTTATTGGTCCAGTTGAGAGACAACTTATGTTAGGTTTAGATTTCTCCTCAATATTATCATATTTCATTTTCAATTAGTTCCCGGATGAAATTTTGAAAAATTTTATCTAGGGTTTCTTTTTGGTTGTTTTGATGAGTGTGTTTTTCTACTTTCCATCATATGGGAAGCATATTTTTATCTGCCTTTTTCCTCTTCGGCTAAGACCTGCATGCCCTACAAGGAAAATACCTTTCCTCTATACCCTGCTGATATATATTCAGTCCTAATTAAACCAAAGACCTAAATCATATCACTCAATAATAAATCTCTTTCTTTTTTATCTTATATATATCCTTTTCCAAGATGAAGAAACGAACTCGCACACGGACATGTGATGCAATTAAGGATTTGATTCCATTGCTGCTGAGGGAGTTGCAGATGTGTGTTAGGTTCAACATTTCAACTTGATCCATGCATATCTCTCTATGCCAAAGTTTTTGTGTGGTCCTCTTTCGGCTTAGTGGGCTGTTTTAAAGGAAAGAAGATGTCTAGATTGGTCCCCCTTTATACTATAAGGTGGTAGAGCAAGCCATTCTTAATTCCTGAAAGTTGCTATCATTCACATCAATTTGACAATTTCCCTTACAAGTATACACCACAACTTTTTCATCCCCATGAATCCTTTTTGTCTTAATTTTTATCTTCTTCCCATCAATACTTCATTGATTTGATGCATGAATTACTTAATCTATTAGGACTTTGCTTATAAACTTATGTTTCTTTTTGTACTTTGGTTCTTTGTATTAATTAACTGCCTGATGGTGACAAAAGTCTTTTGAGCTGGCCAATAAATGTGTATATTTACCTTTGCCATGAAATATATAGGAGATGGACGTATGTATTAAAATGTTATGCATGTACCAAAATGATTAAATCAACACGAAAATCTTCGTTAATTACTAGTAGGCAGGCATTCATCAACCCATGTGATACTTGATTCAGTAGCGGAAAGCTAGCCTTTTGTAGTTGTCGAGAAAGCATGCCACACCACTTTTCAAAAATCAGCATATATGGTCCCCAGTTGAGAATTATAGGCTTTTTTGTTTGACATCAAAACACACAGATGAAGTTCCTCATTAAGCTGCAGAACTTTCGTGTTTTTTATATCCTTAGTAGAGAAGAAACAAGAGATAGGCCCCCTATTGAGACTCATTGGAACAATTATTGCTTACTGTATGCGTGAGGAGAAGAAAATGATAAGAATGACTAGCACATTTATTTGACAGATGGCGAGATGCGACACGTGGCAGCACCATAGCCTTTGCTTTTTCTCCAATTCTTCCATGGAGCATGGTCGGTTGTATTCCGGTATCTTCCTAGCTTTTTTCAAATGGCAGCTGGGGACTGCTACTCCTTCAACATTTAGGTTAATTATCTTTGCTGCAAGGGAAGCAAATTTTACTCTTTGAACTCAGGTATTTATAAGCAGATTATCCGCCGTCTTCACTATCAAATTGTAGAAGGTTTCATCCCTGCCAGGGAATTAACCTTTGAATTTCATAGGTAGGTACGTTCATTTCATCCTAAATTTCTTCATGACTAATATAAGTTTGTTTATCAATCTTCTTTAAACTTTTAAGTACTATATGTATTGAAGGATCAGCTTCAAAATCTTTTCATAAATCCTCTTTTTCCTTCAGAAATCAAGCTACCAAAGCTTTAACTTTGATGATAGCTACAAAGGATATGAAATCTAGGGTTTTAATCAAAACTAATCCAATCTTGTCTTTCAGAATTTACCAGATACTGACTCACTGCTTCTAAATCATCATTTTCTTCACATATTCCTCCTTTTTCTGCTGAATCAAAACACTTCTTTGAGTTCTCTTCGGTAGATTTAGAAAATTTTCTTTTTCCTTGGAAGAATAGGGAAATGATTTTTTTGGTTAATTAGAATATATTGTTCATTTTATATATAATACCATATTAAATTTTACTTTTCCGGTTTACATATATATGAATTCACCTTTGATTGTTCTTAATTTCTCTTTATAATTTGTTCTTTCTTTTCATGCTTTGCAAAGCAGAAAAGGCTGTTACAAACTCCTTGAGTATATGCTTTCAGCAGCAAAAATTTATCTGAGAAATATCAAAGCAAATTGAAGGAAAAGTCAGAGTGCAGCAGCTAAAGCTAAAGGATAATTAGTACTTCTCTTGGAACTCAGATTGCTAATCCATTTCATATATGCTCCAATAATGAAAGACATAAGATGATTGCAAGTTCAAAGGAAGCAGATTCTTCCCCAAGGCAAGAAGGGAATTCAAATGATGCTAACAACACTGGAAAAGGTACCACTTCTTCAAGCTCATCATCATGGTTAAGGTTAAAGGATCCTCGAATTGTTCGTGTTTCTCGTGCATTTGGGGGAAAAGATAGGCATAGCAAAGTCTGCACCATACGTGGATTGAGAGATCGGCGAGTTAGGCTCTCAGTACCTACTGCTATTCAATTGTATGATCTTCAAGATAGGCTTGGACTCAATCAACCAAGTAAGGTTGTGGATTGGTTGCTTAACGCAGCTAAGCATGAAATTGATAAACTCCCTCCACTCCCTGTATCTCCAGGGGACTTTGTTCTAAACCATCAGATGATGCTGACTTCGCCAGAAGCTGCTGCATCTCAATCTAACAAAGAAGGGACGTTTAAAAGTTCAAGTAATATCATCAATTGGGAAGATCCCACCTTGGGGAGGTCAAGTTTATGGAGTTCTGATGCTTTTTGGAGGGCTAAATCCAAAGAAGTTGAAAGGGAAACGACCGATGAAAAGGAAAGTTGGATTAGGAGAAGTACTGAAGAGGAGAAACAAGAAAGCAGGAGTACCACTCATTCTTCTTCCATACCAGCTTTATTGAATAACGCAGTTGTGCCTTACGGTTCTTTTTATCATTTAGAACCTTCAAGTTATTCTTTGACACACTTTGGAAGTCATGGATTTGCGTCACATGCAGAGGATCATCATCAACTCCATGGCTTTAATGCCATGCCCTTGCCTGCATCTACACTTTCTCTGGTATGTCCCCCTCCAGCTGGAACAACTCAATCATTCTTCCCTAATTCCCATTCATCAACTTCTCTTGAAATTGATCCTAGACAAGTCAATCACCATGTCCAAATGCTGAGCTCAACTTCAGAAAACCCCTTACCAAACCCCCTAAACCCACCTGCATTATACTCCCTAAGCCAATCCAATATAAGACCCTTCTCCTTGAGTATGAGTTCCCCTAGACCTCTCCATTCTCACAGCAACAATGGAAACCAGCCAGATAAGAGCAGGAGTTCCCTTCTAAAATAACATGTTGAAGGAAATTGCATCCACTCAGCCTTGCTTAGTGAGAAGAAAAGGTACTAGAATTTTAATTCAAGGTATTCATACAGTCTATAGATAGTGTGGCAAGAAGTTATTTTCACTTTTTTTTTTAATAAGCAGTATCTAGTTGAGATTTCATGTTTGCATTTCTCATAATTTTGTTTTTTTGGGTGTGGAATTATAAGTTAAAATCTGTATGAATGTTTCATGAAAAAATAAGAGGAAAATATATTAATTTCATGATGTTCCAACACCAAATGTGTTTCCAAATTAAGTCCATATACTATAAATCATTTTAATTGAATCTTCCAATTTTTTTTTTTCCTTATGGGAACCTGGTTGAATGATCTGAAATTTGGTTTTATATAATATGTTCCCATTTTTTATTTTCTCATGAAATAATATATCCATATCATTTTCCTTCCTTTCCTTCCTTCCTCTGTATATAAAAACCCTAGACAGCATCTACAAAAGTACCTGCGCTGTTACAAACAAAAACATAGAAACCAAGTTGGAGTACTCTGATAGCTTTGAAGCTGCAGGAAAGAGAAAGAAAATTATTATTAAGTGGAGGGAAAAAAAACAGACTTTACATAGTGTTTGGCCAGTGAGAAGATGAAGGATCAGAGGGGGAGCGGCAGCTTTGCACAAGATCCAACAAGATTAAAGGAAGAAGAGTTGGCGGGTATTGATCAAAAAGAGTTAGACGACCCACCAGAAGTTTCCTCCATGGTAAAGATAGAGTGTGGTCCTTACAAAGATGACAATTTAGGAGAAACAAAAGGTGATGACTCAAAATAGGGTTTGGAAACTAACTTGGGAAGTAATGCGCATATCTGTTCTTAATTATTTTGTGGGTGTGGTATAGCAAAGAAGTTGTGGAAAAACAAAACCTCATCATATTAAAAATATCAGAATATCCAATAATAGCTATAAGATACCTAAGACATAATGTTGGTCCTACTTAAATCTTGTTTATTATGTGGTTGTTATTAAATGTCTTAACATTAAAAATGTCAATACGTATTGATTTTTACTTTTCGATTATGAGGTTGAGAAAAAAATAAAACATCCTGGTATTAAAAATATCAAACCATCCAATCATAAATATAAGGTGAGTGAGACATAATGTAGATCTCACTTAAATTTTATTTATTATATGGTTAGTATTAGATATCTTGATATTTTTAATGTCAAGATATATTAATTTTCACTTTTCTATTATGAGGTTACAGAAAGACATGATGTAGTGCTTTATTTCATTAATTTAGTACATATTATAGAGCAAGCTATTTACTCACAACTATGCAAACAAAATTTATCTTTAGAATAAAACTGAACTAAAACTTATAGACAAGACATGATTATAACCTTAAAACCATGATCTTCACCTTAATTACAATTAGATAAGGGTTTTAATAGTACAAATATCTAACTAAGATTGTGCTTATAAGAAGAAAACAACTTTGCAGGGGTTAGTTAATTGTATGATAAAAATGAAAGGAAAGATGAAAATTGATCAATCCCATTCTTAATAATTTTTTTGGATAAAATCTTCATATTCTCTTTTCCCTTAGATTAATGACCAAATGCAACTTTTGCATTATTCGTTGTATTTATGGAAGAACAAAATAAATTTAATTAGGCAAAAGCCTCAACTATAATAAGGACACAAACTTGTATATATGTATTGATTATGTAATTGAGTATGTTATCTTCCATTTGAATGTAATATAAGACATCAATTCCATTCTTAATAATTTAAATAAAGGGCATGTTCTTAATATTGTGGCACATAAATAATCACCTACGTGCTACATTATGGCCAGTACTCTTTTATAGGCCTAAGCAAGAAGAGGGCTTGACATTATCAACTAGGCAAGCAGCTACACCTATGGAATGTGTTTTTGTATTTTGAGGTTTGTGCGGTTGTTGACATGTTCTCCAAGGCAGGATACTTATGGGCAGCTTGGTACACGAATAGAAGCTTCTGTAGAAAATACTGAGCTTGAGAACCTCAGCAAGAACGCCCCATCATAAACCACTTTAATTATAGTGGGAGATGGAAAGAACAAATATATATATATATATATATATATGAGGAGAGATCTATTTATA